TTCTCTTAGAAATCATTTTCTCAGAGACCAAATTGCTACAATGCTGTAGCAAGGATAACTACATATCAAAAAGTCTGCGCAAGGGGTTAGAGTACAAACTACACAAACTTTACACATTTGAGCAGTAGTTGCTGAACAAAAGCAGCAGTTTCTTATTCAAAAATTACAACGTTCTTAACCCCTAATACGTTTTATAGATGAAGATACGAATGAGTTTTGTGATTGGACTTGATCTATTGATCATGGTTCCGGTAGCGACCGTTCCTGTCATCGCAGCATCTCCGCTCAAAAGAAGAATTTTGAAGTGCACATTATCAAGTCAATTATGACTTGCACATTTTTACACTTTTGCATATTCGAAGTTTTCTTTTTTACAACTCTAAGCAGTGAACAGTGACCTGCGCTAGAATTTGCTCTGATACTCGCCGCAGGGTGACTCTTCGACCACTTTTTTCAGAGGGAGGGTTGTGATGCTTCCATTGGCCAGAACTCACTTTTCAAATGGGCTTCTGTCTCGAGAAATTTCTGAAGCGTAGTATGTGGTACCCTTTGACTACTGGTGGTACACATGTGTGTGCCATGCGTAGTCAAAAAGGTAAACTATGCTATGGTGAGTCTGTAGAAGTTATTTAGGAACGGCTGTTGGTTCGGTTTTCAACAGGAAAGTGGAAGACCCAAACTCAGATATGAAACCATGTAACCTGCGTTTATACAAGAAGTACTGCCGGAAGCATTGTGCTGGGAAAAAATGATTTGGTGCAGAAAAACTTTCGTAAATACTCATCTTTGCTGGACTTAAATCTTACGGATGCATGACATGCAGAAAGAGCGTGGAAAGTTCCCAAATCATGGACCAAAGGAAAGGGCAAAGAAGTGGGAGAAATGGGCAATAAAATCTGTGAAATAGATGAAGAGAAAAGTGTGCGCCGCAAAGATGTAATTGAGGAACGCCAGGAAGGTTCCTACGTATATCACAGAAGCAGTGAACCGCAAAAATTGAAATGGAGAGAACTTCAGCGAATTCTAGCAGCCTAAATTTCGAGACAGCCTTGTTAAAATGTAATCCCTACCCGTCACCACGCAGCTAAAAGGTCTCCTGCATAGGATCATCCTTCAGATCAAAACATTAGAAGAATCATCCGCCAGTTCTTTTCTTGGTGCTGTTTATAGAGTAACTCAAGGTATGAACGAAAATTTCCTCCAGATAATTTTCTTTTTTGAGTATAACAACTGCTATCTAACAACTACAAATCGCTTCCTGTCGCCCCACCCCAACCCCTCTAACAAGGAAGCCGACACCTTCCCATATGGAAATACTCACGCATGCTACTAACACAATTTCGCCCATATTGGAAAAGGCCTCTGGAGCGTCTTTCCCAACCACATACAGCTGCAGCTATGGGAATCCACCGCAATCTCAAATAAATCTCTCACGTTAAACCAAGAGATTGATTAGAACCAATGAATAATGTACGACCGACTACCAACAGTGAGCGCGTTTCTCAGCTTTCACATTCGTAACCACTAATTATCTACTTGACCAATTACACGGTTCGGCGGTTGCTTTCGAAGTCGTTTGGCGGGGCGTGGAAAGGTCGTTCCCAAAATCGTCCTTGCCACTTCGTCCTCCGTAGTCCTAGTTAGACATATCTACCACGCGGCTGTCACAGTGGACGCCGACACACAATCTGGCGCTCCACGAACGAGATCATATTTCATCTTATCTGCCCGTTCGTTAACTACGACTCTCACGCCGCACGAAATTGTAAACCTTGTTATGCTTTTCCGTGAGTTTCTGCACTTTTCACACCTCTCTGAATTCTTTTAGTTTCCGTCGCGAGACTTCTAAGCCTGAAGCGCTCGGATCCACGCCAAAAAGACGCAGAGAAAAGGCCGCAAGTGTCCCATATGTGAAGACGTCTTCGCGCAAGGTTCATTTCGAAGAAACCTACGTGCTCGGGCTCATGAT